TATTTATTTAAATTGAAAAGATGAAAAAAATAAAATCCCAATGGTATATAGAATGAGGACTGTGCGAGCGGCAATTACTCGCCTGACTTCGGCAACCACACACTTCGTCGCTTTTTTGACGTAAGGGCGTACCTCAATTTTGACTTGAACCCTGGTCTCCGTATGATTTAATGCTTTCCGAGACTCATGTAGAAATAGAGATACGCCCTTACGTCAGAGGAGACGATTTGACCCTCCCCTGAATCCTCTCATTCCGCACTTTAATCGGATGTATGCTTAAAACGTATCCTATAATTGGACCACTAGACAAGGTACGATTTCAGGGCCGGATTAAGGGGATGGCCACATGGGCCGCGGCCTATGGCGGCAAATTTAGGGGGCGGCGAATTTTGCAATTTTTTTAATGTAGGTATCAAAAAAGGAGAGAAAAAAATCGGATTCAGAAAATAAATTACAAACGAGAAAATGCGACAGAAGCTCTCATTTCCTGAGGGTAAAAGTATGGTAATTTCTAATTTTGTCGTCTTTCGGTGATACAAGAGACAACACCTTTAATTAGCCGAGTTAAGAGAGAAACCAAACACGCAATTCAACCTGGAACGCTCGAACGGAGCGACGCGACGCGGCGCGGCGGTCGGCATGAAACGCATAGCGCCTACAAGACTTCATGAATACTTCACGCATTGCGTCAAACACAGTGCGGTCAGCAGCGGTCGGCGTGAAGCGCATAGCGCCTACAAGACTGCATAAATACTTCACGCATTGCGTCAAACTCAGTGCGGTCAGTTTGTTCTTTCATAATTTTTTCGTTCATTTCTTATAAATGGAAGACCTTGTTCACACAGAGATAGGTTCATGGAACTTAACTTTCGCGCAAAGTTCCGTGAAATTTTGCTGGTAATGTTGGCAGGGCTTCGCAAAAAATGTGTCCAACACGAGTAAACGTGTCTTATGCACCCCTCCCCGCTGCACGTTCACTTGATGGTTTTTATTGATGTTTCAAAACGAATGAGAAGGGGGCGGCAAAATACAAGCGGCCCACGGGCGGCAAGTAGGTGAATCCGGCCCTGTACAAATTTCAGCATTCTGATACATGTTTCTTAACCAAAATTTCACGTAAAACACGATGCGCACGATGAAAATTACAAAAACCCACTCCCTACGAAGCTATTTAATGATTCTTGATGCGTGAATTCAAACCACCCGCTCATGAAAACTCAATGCTCTACGTGATTCATATCGCCCGCTACACGTTTTTATCATGACAATTTCTGCGATATAAAAATCTGGCAACCTCAATCTTGACTCAATCTTTGGCTCAGCTATAGCAAAGTGCTGATAGTTTGAACAACACATGGTGGGAAATGAACATTGCTCGATTGAGAAGATTGCTGAAACCGTTGTAGTGCGCGATTTGACTCACGTAGAGCTTTGAGTTTCTTGTGAGCGGGCAGTTCAAATTCCTCGTAACCAATGTGAAATAAAAACGTTAATATCTTCTTTAGGAGTTGGTTTCAGTAATTTTTGTTGCGCGAATCGTGTTCTACGTGAAATTCTTGTTAAGAAACATGTATCAAGATTGTTTAAATTCGTACCCTGTCTAGTGGTCCATTGTTCACTATTTTCCATATATGACAGTGTTGCCAAATAGTGCAATTTGACTGACCGTTATGCAACAATGCGCGTAATCATGATCCATCGTGATCATTGCTGTTTGCAGGGTAACAAGTTTTCTTGGATTTAAAAGTTTCCTGACTTTTCAGATATTTTGATCTTATGAACCCCCGACTTTTCCCTGGATTTTCAGTTGTTGTTTTTTTATCATGGTATCTGATAAAATTTTTAGTTACAGACAATTCTGAGCAGGAAGGTACTTGAAAGTGAAAAAATGCAATTATTTTGGCTGCAAGAGAAGATTTCCGCAGCAAATTTCCCTGACTTTTCCTGACTCATCAAGGTTGTGCGAATAGTCCTTGAGTTCTAAGTTGACTCTAGCCTTGCGACAAATGTGTCGTTGACCAAAGTGCGAAACCTCGTATCGCCATTTCCGAAGTTGCAGACTTCCTGTTATACTTTATTTTTTAAAGTAAAAACTACTCAATGTCAATACTTGAAAACTTCCGTGCCTTTTCCTCTCGAAGCGAAGAAAATTCTGTATAAACGTCAAGGAATGATATTGATTCGTTCTCCTTTAAAAAAAATAAAATGGGAGCGGAAATTTCAAAACACCGCGCAAACAAGATGTAGGGTCTATAGTTACACCTTCGATATGTCCATTTCCAAAGTGCGAAACTATGTATATCCATTTGCAAGGTCGTAGACTTCCCGTGATATTTCATTTTTTCCTTGGAAAACAAACCAAATAAGGGATTTTTTATGTAAGACCCAAGAAATCCTTAGCTCAAAAGAGAGCAGTAATGATTTTGTGGATATCGAATGACGTGGGTTGTACAGCACGTGAAAGATTAATTGGACTGTATTTTGCAATTTGGAACTATAAATTCTGACTCCTCTGGAAAAACATTTATGTGCATTGGGAAACTAATGACACGTAGGTACGTTGTTTTTAAACCGGGCTAGAATTTATAGTTCCAAATTGCAAAATACAGTCCAATTTTAATGAGGACGTGCGATTCGAATTTAAATATTTTACAAAATAAAAGTTTAAAACGAGGCATCGTATCAGTGCTGATTTTGTATCTATGTCGCTTTACATAGCTTTTTGGCATTCTGCAATCCCTAATCGCCACTGCTCCCTATCAAAATACAACCCCTCAGGAATCTAGATTCCTATTCTGCCGTGCTAAGGAAGAACGCCGTATGAACATTCGGGAATTGCCAAATTTTCCCGGATAAAACATGTACTTTCGAGGAAAGCTATTCATATTTTTCCTTAAAATTTTCAGATATTTTAGATTAAATTGGGAGCAAAACTGCCTGAAAAATTGCAAGAAAAATATTTAGAATTTTCCTACACTCAGAAAAAGGTATGACTCTGAGACCCATTAAAAATGGCTCGAAGATCCATAATTTCCAACCAAAGTGACTTACCGTCCACACAGTATGGCTTTCTGATCGAGCAATACTTTATTGGTCGTGAACCTATAAGCATGGCTCCACGAACTATATTCTATGGTTCCATGATCCATAACTCGACCGGTAAGTCACTCTTCCCATACTTGTTTTTTGAGTGTAGTATATTCGTTGGTTATTAAAGGAAATATGGCAACGCCTGAAGGCTCATACGGCGTTTTTCCTTAGCACGGCAGTATTAGCATTTCCGTTTCAACAGAACCTCCGCAACCTATCATCGGACAATAATTGGGCATCGTTTATGCCATATACCCCAAGAGGATCCCCCAATCCAAGAACTTCTTCGGAAATCTATTTTATGCCATTACTTCAGCATGACCACATCATATAAGTTGTTTCATCATGAAGTAATGATCAGTAGTCTGTTTATGAGAATTTTACTGAGACACATTTACAGTGGTACCGCAGGAACCAACGCAAAAATTCCCGTATTTGTCTCGTATATAGCCTGCAAGTGTAGTCTCAAGTAACCTTATTCTACCGTATCTCAGTTAGCAGAGTTGCAGACTTTTTGTTATACTCACTACTCACTGTCAGACTAAATAAAAAAAAAACACTCTTTACTAAATAAAAAAAAACACTCAACGGCAATTCTTCAATACGCCGAGTCGGTGATTCTTCTTCTCTATGCGTGAAATGGAGTCTGTGAACATTTCAAGGCATAATGTTGGTTCAATCTTCTCGGAAAAAAAAATTAGGAACGGAGATTTGGAAAAATTTCCATGGCGGTTAGGGCCGAATTCAGGGGGTGGCCACATGGGCCGCGGCTCATGGCGGCAAATTTTGCAATTGTTTTAAATGTAGGTATAAAAAAAAATCGGATTCAGAAAAAAAACTACAAACGAGATAAGGCAACAAAATCTCTTATTTCCTGAGAGTGTAGTAATTTCTATTTGGTCGTCTTTCGGTGATACAAGAGACAGCGCGGCGCGGCGCGCGCAGTGAGCAATGATGACGAGGACTTGAGATAAAAAGAAGCCCTCGGCGCGGCGCGGCGGTAGGCATGTAACACATACCTAGTAGCGCCTACAAAACTGCGTGAATACTTCACGCTTTGCGTCGAACACAGTGCGGTCGGCGTGAAACGCATAGCGCCTACAAGACTGCATGAATACTTCACGTAGGGGGCGGCACAACACAGGCGGCTCATGGGCGGCAAGTAGGTAAATCCGGCCCTGATGGTGGTATGCGTTTATGCAGTTTCAGAGGCTAAGTTGGGCGTGTGTATGCTAGAAGGAACTATGTTGCACGGAGACCCTTTGCACAAAGCTCCTACAAGCATATATGTAAAGCAGAACCACCGAGAAAAAAAGTTCGGTTGCAGCAGTGGCGATTCTTAAAAGTTCACAACACTATTTTTCCTCCATTAAAATGTATGTAAAACAATCGATCCGTGATGAGGCAGCTTGCCTCATGTAAAATCGATATTTTTAATGAATTTAAATGGAGGAGAAATAGTGTTTCCAAATCGCCTGTGGGTTGCAGGGACTGAACTTCGATTGATATTAGACACAAAACTTTTTGGCTTTAGGTCATTGAAGTTTTTGGTCACTGGAACTAAATTTTGGTGAGCTGGACCAAAGTATGGTTTCTGTGACCGATAATTTTAATCACAGGAACCGAAAAAGCTCGGTTATTCAGTGAGCAAAGAACTTTTTATCTCCGTGAAAATCAGTAAATTCTCTTCAAACCGACAGCCATGTCCTAAAACTTCATTGCACCGTAACTTTCGACGGCTTTTCTACATGGCCACAACAAAAGAGGCAGTCCTAAAAATGAAAATTACATAACGAGACGACCAACAACGACAGAGTCATAGATTCTCCCACCCGACTCTTCCACCAATAGCGACGATATGATCTCAGGTGAAGTCAAAAATAAAGTGCTCACCTCTGGTTTTTTCTTCGGAGGTTTCTTCTTTGTCCCGCATCCAACGGTCTTCCCTTTCTCTGTTTGCGCGCCATGGTGATCCATCTCCTTTTCGCTCTCCTCCTCATTGTTCTGATTTCCTTCGTTTACATCGACTCCAGAAGGCCGCCGAATTTTCCGCCAGGTAAGCAACTTTAATTTGAAGCACGTTGGATCAGAACGGCACAAGTCCACTTTTTTACGAAGCTGAGATACTAGCGTCTTTGGAAAGTGTTTTTTGAGCCGCATCCAAATAAATAAAATGTAAGTGGTAAACCTTAAATTATGGTGGTTTTGGCTTACTTATCGGAGAAAATTCATTCCTCGATATATTTTGAAAACGTTAAAAAAACGGACTAAAATTCAAAAAATCAGTTCCTCGGAGGGAGTTTATTGGGAATTTTTTAAGTTGCATTTTTCCAAATTAACTGTGTCGTCCAAGAACAATTATAAAGTTATACCATTAAAGTTTCAGGATCAGACAATTTTTGGCGTAAGCATACTGACCCTAGCTGCTTTTTTAAGCTCATGAAGTAAATAAAAAAGCCTCCATTTTATATTTCTTGGAAAGTTAGAAAAATTGATTTTGTGCCATTTTGATTTTAAATGCTCAATTGCATGCTATCATTGCTATCCGTAACGCTGGCGTATAATGTGAGTTAGTGTAATATTAGATTTACTTAAGGCGCATCAGGTTAATTCCAGACAATTTTAGATATTGAGATTAAACTAAACGGAGCTTAAATTATAATTTCAAATATACTAAAAGAGATTCACCTAACTTGATTACACTATATCCAGCTTTGTCTATCTTCACAAAGGATTTAAAAAAAAATAGTCGTTAGTCTATTTCTTCATATGGCCGGTTGGAAAATATGAAGCTGGTTTAATTATGATTTCTAGGGTATTAACGATTTTAAAAAGAAGTACCTTCGGCAGGTGACATACAGATAGGCTGGATTTAGACATATTTTTCGAGATTTGGGTCGAAAAAAGTCGAACCGTCCAAATCGAGAAAAGCGAATTATGACTGCAATAGATGATGTACCTTCAAAACATCATTGGTATCCTTAAAGAGACTACTTTTGTATGTTTTTTTAGCATAATCGTGCAAGGAGCGTAATGCGATGAAAATATTGAAAACTGCAATATTTTCACCTAATTTGATCCATAAATGCCGATTTTAAACAACCAACAAGATAAATCGCAAGTCTCAGAGAGATAGGCAATTTGCAATGCAAAGAAAGATCACAACTTATTTCAATTTTATTGCAATAAAGTTCCATTAGAAGTGCCCCTTCAATCAGTAGATAGGCAACATTCACAACATTCCAATGCAGTAGAAGTACTCTTACGATGTAACTGCAGTTTATTTGAATCGGTACTATTGGACACAGCACTCAAACTCAATATCAAGATATCATCAGATATCGATTTTCATAGTTTTGTAAAATTAGGATTTTTGTCTCCCCGGCCTCGCCCCCTAATTATCCGAGGGGGCTAACAGTTCGACCGCGTTGAACAGGTAGGATCCAAGCCACATCAACTATTGCCAAATTTAGTCGGTCAGTACAATTTTTTACATGAAAACGGTTGTGCAGATTTTCGCGCAAAATTCACTGAATTTCCACCATAGCTCGAAGCAAATTCCTTGAAAGTTTCAAAGGAATCCGCATGAACGTTCTCTCGTAATAAATTAAATTGCCCAGTTAAAGGCAGAAGCTGATGTGGCTTGGCTCCTCTCTGTCAAACGCGGTCCATTTTACCCTGACACCAGGAGCAGTTGGTACAACACCTGAGCAATCTCCGGCCGAAATAAGGGGGGGGGGGTTTGGAACAACCTCTCTGGTCGTTTTTACAGTTTTTGGTATCAAGGCAGCACTCAAATGTCTCAAACTTTTGCAGATTCGTCTGGACTATGTTAGTTCTGAAGCACGAAAACAGTACAAAGCTCCAAACAGTACAATGAGGAATAAAGGGTGGTGGCCCCCAGGAATAGTTTCATTCAAAATAACCTCCTTTTGGCGATAAAATCGGGCCGACTCAACTATAACCTCAACTGTTTCTCTCGATAAATATTCAACAACTTTACTGCCATGCCAAACAGAATTTGTCGCTCTCCGTAACTCCCCATCGGAGTTGGTGCGCTTGGGTCGGGGACAGTGGCGTGGCGTGTTTTGCGATATATCGATTGTTATGCCATTTAAACGTATGGAAAAGGATCGATAATCAGGGTGTTCGCAGCGAACACCTTAATAATCGATTCTTTACCATAGGTTTAAATGGCAGAACAATCGATATATCGCAAAGCACGCCACGCCACTGGTCGGGGACCGGTATATAATCTCTTCATCGTTGCGACTACAACTGTTCTATATGCAAATAAACTCCTAGTCGTCTTGCTATTGGTTGCACTAAGAGGTGCATCGCTTGCAATCTAGTACGGATTTTCCTCTCATGCCGCAATCACACGCTGAATGCGGGAGCTGAATGTGGAAGTCATCAGCCCGATGCCTGAATTTTGCGCGTTCCTGTCGTGGAAATCTAAGCAATATACCCGGATTAGGCAAAAGTTAAAGTTGGAGGTTAACACTACTTTTCGCCCAATGATGATTAATGACCAATTTGTTGAGCGAAAATAGAATAAAACTCGCCTATTGATGACCGATGAATGTCGACGTGAACACGATTCCGTGGCCCCCAGGGAAATCGTTTTTGAAAAAAAGTTGTACAACAAAATCGTCTTTTTTTAACCCAAAGAATCGACTCCTTCAATATTCTTACTTAATCCTGGGACACCCTGTATTGTCTCTGGTGCCCCCGGACGGCCGAACTTGGACTAGAGAAAAACCGAAGGAGTTTCCACGACAGTCTGACATCCTCTAGCGGTGTCCTCCGGAGGCAGGTGTCCTCGAAGACTCCGAAACTGGCGGCCACTTTCCAGTCCGGTGACTGAGGACCGCGGGCCGACAAAGGCGGGCTTAGACGCTTCTTCGACGATAAATTGTGCTTTTGGAGGTCGAAAGACGAAAGACCAGCACATGACCTCCCTCAACAAGATCTCCAGACTCCCATCGATAAGACCCTTTCACAGCTGTTTACTTTCACTTTCACTTTCCGCCCACTTCCCCTTCCCCTTGTAGGTGCACAGCGTCTCCTTAAATGAATGATAACCATCAGTGCTGTTGCTATGTGGAGGGCCCTAGTAGCAGAGCTGCATAAAAAGTATTTTAGAAAAAAACTCTGTTTTATAAAAAAGTTTAATTTTTCACGATCTTGAATTATTATACTTTAATTTAACCGTCGAGCAATTTTTGCTTTAATCTTTGTGTTGCTAAGTGGAAGGCCCTAGTAGCAGAGCTGCATAAGAAGTATTTAAAAAATTTCTGTTTCATAAGAAAGTTTAATTTTTTCACGATCTTGAATTATTGTAGTTTAATTTAATCGTCGCGTAATTTTTGCTTTAATCTTCGTATAATTCATTTTTGAAATTTATTAATTCAGAGATAATTTACATGTTATATTAAAAAGAAGTATACCCACACCTTTTTAATATGACGAAGCAAGAGGAGAAAACGGGAACCGGGAACCAAGGCTAAAAATACAAAATAAAAACCGAGACGTTTCAATGAACGTTGAACGCTGAATTGGCTCACTTCTGAACCATTTGTAGTGTTTTTCTCCGACCTAAAATGGCTCAGTTTTGAGCCGGAACGTCTTGGTTTTTATGAGGGATTTTTAGCCTTGTTTCCCCCCCCCCTTGTTTTTTCATACGCAACCAATAAACCGAGGAGCGTGACTGGTTATCTGCTCGAAAAATTTAACATTCTTAGTAACCTCGATGAAGGCAATAAAAGATGATCAAACCTAACTGTAAATATCATGTACTCGATTTTTGCCCTCAACTTAGCCGCACAGAGCACAAACATGCCGGGTAGTCCAAAATTTGAGAAGAAGAAGAAGAAGAAGAAGAAGAAGAAGAAGAAAAACCTATGTATACCTGATAAACCTTCCTTCATAAACTTCGGAAGAGCCAAAATAGAATGCGCAAACCTATTGAAAGGTTATGCTCACCTCAGGTTCGCCTTCAATTTTATCGCATAGGCAACACACATACCGGGGTGCGCGACTAATTACCTACCCAAGACAAACTTAAATCTTGCTTCATGAACGTCGATTGAGCCAATAATGCGAGAATTTATTGACAGATATCGTCAACTAAATTCTTGCCGTATAGGTCCCAAACATAGCGGGGTGTGCTACAATTCGGAAAGGAAAAAACTAAAAGCACATCTTGATCCATTTACAAAAGAGTTAATAAAGAATCTGTAAAAAGATTCGCAAATATCTTTCACTGCTGGTTCGCCTTCAATGCAGCGCATAGGCAACAAACGTATGGGGGAAGGCGAATAGTCATCTAATTATGAAACACATATTTACCTCTCATCCCTGTTCAATGAGTTTTAATTGCTTTGATTAAAACGGCTTTGTTTTCACTCCCTGAGTAATTTCTTAAGGAATCGCAGTCGGATATATTCTCTTAAGATTTAGGGTTATATCTCTAATTAATAAACTGTGCTCCTGGGCAAATTATTCGTACTTGAACTGCAAACTGTTGCAAATTATCAATGATTATTTTGGTTTTTCTTCCTAATTAATCATTTTTATGAATGTGTAAATAACTTTTTTTAAAAATAACAACACATCAAGATGCAGTTGTTGTTGATATGCCTTATTAAGCTAAATGCAAGCAAGCTCGATGCTCATCATCAGTAGAATAGGAGGCAGATATAAATGGACAAGACTCGACATGGTAAAATAAGTGCTGATTACATGCATTAACATATAGATTACAAAGATGAGCAGGTTTGCAGATGGTAAAATGTATTTAGAGTGAAGGATAATCAACAAAAATTGCATCCTGGTATGTTCTTATATTTACAATTTTTAAAAACTTTATAGATGGTTATAAATGTATCATTTGCTTTAAAAACATCAATTAATTTTTTTTATAAATCCCATGTGTTTATTTCGTAAGTCACGAATTTTGAGTTGTAGTTTTTACCCCACGTTTCAGGGCCGGATTAAGGGGGTGGTCACATGGGCTGCGGCCCATGGCGGCAAATCTAAGGGGCGGCAAAAATT